TAGCTTGCCAGGCTTTGCTGTTCCCAAGGGTGTTGCGTGCTTATGGTGATTGCTGGGTGCCGAGATGTGTTTGTGCCTCCCTGCTGCATTTCCTGGGTCCCCTGCATCCTGTGTCTGCTGACAGCAGACTGCTCATTTCTTCAGTTCACACATTTTCCTACTCATGTTTCTCCATCTTCCTCTGCTGGGCTAGTATATCTAGTTATTGCCTTACAAGACATTTTATGGTCCTATGCATGAAAATTGCTGCAAAACAATGAATTTATTTTACCATATAGGAAGAATGGAAGACTTCAGAAATTAAGAGCAGCACTTTCTGCTTTAGTTGCCCATAGCTGAATAGATAAATTAAGCTTAATTAAAAAAACAAAAACCAAACAAACTGAAACCACCCCACAAACGAGATTTTCAGTGGTTCTGAGAACACCCTGTTATGATTACTTACATTATTCTTTGAAGAAGGCACTTGGATGGAAAGTGCCACAAGGCACAAAAAAAACCTGCACTGAGTCTGGCTAAAGATGACAGCATCTGTTCATGCATCCTTGTTCCAGGTGAGCAAGACATCTCAGGTGGGAAGGAGGCATGATCAGGGTCCTGGTTCTTATTGCTAGACCCTGAGCTGCCTGTGAGTGCCATCAAACTGCAATGTGGCAGGAAAGTATGTGGGAGCCATGGACAAGTAAGTGAAATTTAAGGTGGTCATTTAGACTGTATTAACCTGGAGTTCCAAAGTACCTGAAATACTGTCTGATCAAGTGCTCACAGCACCCCCACAGCCACTGTGAGTGGAGGCACTGGGAACAGCAGTTCTCCCAATTAGCTACTGGCAGGGGACTGAGGTTAAGCATCCTTTGTGTCATGTTAAGAAACAGAATAACTCAAGTAGAGAGATTAAATAATCCATTTCACCTGTAGAGTCTGGCTGGTGTCAGGGCCACTGCTACCATGTGAGGATTTCCCATTCTGGCTCTGGCTATAAGCACAGGTGTTGCAGGATAGGAGACTTCTGAGAGGCTTGCCTGTTTCAGCAAGACACATGGGAAGAGAAAGACTTCATCAAGATGTGGTTTTGTTTAGACTTCCATCTGGAGCTATAATTTAAGCATGTTTTAAGTGGTGCCCTTCCCATTAGCTCTTCCAAAGCATAGCCTCATTGATCCTATTTCCGAGCCACACATCTCTACACGAAGGATTTATGTGACTGGCAAACCACAGGGCACCAGCAACCACTTCTGTGCTCATGAAGCTTCACCAGCCTGAGTGCACTGCATGAGTTAATTGCCCAAGAGAAGGTATCCAACTGTTCTGTGTTCTTGAAAGCATACCCTTCCACATTTCTTTTTTTATTAAGCTAAACATTGCAAACTGCATTTTAAGCCTAAACACAGCCTTTCATTCTTAACCTCTGTGTTTATGCATTTTATTGAATTTTTGAAGATTGGATTAATTTTCAGCATTTGATTTGCTGCAGTGACTTTGGGCTTTCTGCCCAACTTAACCATGGCTGCTACTCTTGGATGATGGCCTGACCATTAATTATTTCCCTGCTGAAACTGCATTACCACAAAATAAATTTTGTTATAATGACATTACGTAAAGGCCACAAAAACCTGTCCAGCATTAGAAATTTCTTCTTGGAAGCTTTTCTTTTATGTTTTTTCCTCACATTATCTAAATCAAGAATGAGGTATCATTTAATATTTTACCAACTTATGAATAAACAGGCCTTCTATTTACCTTGATGTAAATATTACAACATCAGCATTGAAGTAATTATCAAATCACAGACATTATCCTGCAATCTTTATAAATTCAATCTCCCCAGTCAGACAACACATTTAAGCACAAAAAGATTGAATCATGTCAGATTTAGTAAGTTACCATCTTTAGTTTACAGGGTATAACAGTTCTTACTCCATAAGACACGTCTCAGTATGTAAAAAGGGTTTGATAAAATACTCATTACTCATTCTTACAAATATGGATATTTTTAAGCCACCAAATTACAAAGTAAACCATCTAGGACTCTAATGAAAGACCTTGAGGTGAAAGGAAGAGCAAGAGGAAAATATGTATAATTAAGAATGAGCACCCCATAGATTCACTGTTAGCACAACTGAAGTGCCAACAACATGTATTTTGGTTACTTGTACCAAAATCCTGCAATTATGCTGATATATGATAATGTCATTGCCCTTGAAAATACTGCTTTCCTCTAATAATTTAGGAAGGAGATCAATGATGAAGTCATGTGGTTTGGTCTTGCTGTTGGTGATATCACTCTGTTGCTGAAAAATATAAAAATTATTAATTCCTTTCCACTTCTACCATCTGAGCAGTCCATTTCCCTCTCTCTTATATTCATGTGGAAAATAAACCACATTTTTTTTCCAGTAGAATACTTTTTAAAAAACATCTGCAGAGGTGATTTACCACTGAGAATGTAAACAGAGTTGGAGACACTCAGCTATCCTTTGCTGCATTAATCCAATTCCATTTTACTTAACAGCAGCCTGATGTTCATTATCTTTCCAGAAGGTAACTCTTGCTTGCCAAAGATATGCTTTTCCAGTAGTTATTATTCTTCTAAGTATTTTCTCATTATTTTCTGCTGCACGGTGTGTTTTTTTAAAGAATAATTTTTTTGTAACTTCATCATTTGTTTGAAGCATCTCACTGCAACTTAATTATGAAGAATAAAAGAAGCAACAGATGTAATACAGCAAATGTCTTTGGCTACTTTAGATTTTTTTCCCCTCAATTACAGACCAGTAAATTCAGTGGGTTTTATAGATTAGAGCTTAAAAAGCCCATCATGATAGGTAATGGAATATCTGACTTTTTGCATTCTTGTTTCAAATAGGGATTTTTATCACCTGCTCCTAGACAATCTACAGACTTTTTTCTTTACCATTGCCCAAGTGGGCTTGACTGATAGCCTCAAACTTTAATTTCATTCCAGAGCAGAGAGACTGTTTTGCACATGATTTTGTGCAGCACATACAACTCGGCTGCCAGGTTTGAGACTTTTCAACCATGGAGAACAGCCTGATATCAAACCTGCAGCCAGAGCTTCGTTGTGCTTGATGCTGTACAGAGGAAAGATCATACATTTTCAACATAAGCAAAGGGACCAAAGTTCAAAGTGTAAAATAGCAAGTAAGGAGTAAGGGAGAAAGGAAGGCATTTGACAGCCACACCAGTTTCCTTTCATCAGCTTGCAGAAGATTGTCACTAGTACTTTTGAGATGTCCAGAGGAAAAATATTCACAGAATTATACCCCTCAAAGCTCAACCCATCCCTCAAGGGGCTGTGTTGGTTATAAAGTCACTTGTAAGAGAATTGCTTAGCTCCTTCAGGTAATAGCCCTGGAAAAGAATATATACTATTGTTTGGCCTTATAATGACATTGAGACATTATAACTACCTGGAGTTGTAAATCAAGCAGCAAATTCTACTTTATTCTTTAATTTAATGGAGGTGAAAACATGGCTCTAACAGGGCAGAGAAAACTGATTCTCACAGCATCACAGCAGTTTTCCCCAACTGATGCTCTTCTGTGATGAGTTATCAAAATATTTTTACCTGGTTTCCATTATTATGGGCTTCTTGGGCCCCCTCCAAAATAACCATTACTGTCTATCTGATTCTAATTCTTTTTAGAGGAGCTGTTTTTCTCTAAATTTTGTAGTGCTTTAGGACTAAAGTAGCAAGGAAATATACAAGTACATAAACAAGAGCCTGTCTTGATCCTTTCATCCAAATTACATCAAGAGGCTAGCCTGTGGAAAGAGCTAATGATCCAATCAGTGTAAGAAACACATTACAAATTTGAATTCTAATACATGATGTCTAGATGCAGATTTATCAAATGTAATTATACATTTGAAGAAATTATATATTTTTATATGATTTGTTTTTCTGTTGCTGTAGTCTCTCGCAATGATCCCTTTAGCATTTAAGTTCCTAGCTGAATTCCGCAGAAAAGGTTTTGAATGAATGTTGCTTGACAGAGTGTCCATCACTGACAAAGGCAGGAAGGCAGCAGTGAGGGCAAAAAAGGATTCTACAAATAGGTACAAATGTACTCAAGCCCCTGGGATCCTCCTGGGATCTCTTTGTATTCTTTGTTAACATGATGTTGGCAAGTTCCTTTCATGCAGTTCATGAGCTAATGCAACCTCTATGATATGTGCTCCCAAGCAGTTCAGCAGAGAAGCAAACCGAAGTGGCAGCAAGCAATGAACAACAACCCCTTGCTGAAATGACAGTAAATAATGAATTAACAGCCTGCTAGGGCATCCTTGAATCTGTGACTCCTGTGTCTTATGAATTCCTGCCCTACAAATGAAACATCAGTCTGCCTCTGTTGCCAATAGAATTAGGAAGCAGCCAATACAGACTGGTTACCTGTGGAACAAGACTCAAATCTACAAGTATTTGTCCCAGCATTTATTACAGTTTGCATCTGGAGGAAAGGGCTGTCTGTCAGGGATGCTTGAAAACACATTTTAAGCTTGTGGTTTCAAATAAACCTCAGCAGAAATTTAAAATTTAGGTGAATTGTACTCCCTGCCTCTTACGCCATTCTCCTCTCAGTTCTTGATTTTGAGGAGAACATGGTAGCAAAAGCTCACCAATTTTACTTTAAACTCAGTCAAAATGAGGTAACTCCTGAGCAGGCAGCTGTAGCTCTGCACATCTACATGTGAGCCCAACAGCCAGACAGGAGCACTCACACACTCCTCTGCTTTCTGCACTGGGCTAGGAGAAGAAACACCTGTTTTTTTCTTTGAACATACCAGAGGTGCCATATGATCCACACACCTTTGCTGTGCTGTTTTTTGAGATTTCCTATCAAACTGACACAGCACACCAGACAAGACATGGGCTGTTGCCATTAAAGTGGCTGGTTCCACTTCTATATAGAAATATTGGTCATGACCCTTTTTTCTATTTGTGAAATTGGGAAACAAAGACACATGACAAAATGGGCTGCTGGAATAGTAATCTTGTCTTTATTTAAAGGAGAACTTTTCTCATCCATTTTCTAAACAGGCAGTGTTATTTGAAAAAGTCAGAAATGAAGTCATGATCAAAACCACACATAGAATAACTTAAACATTTTTCTTTTCAAGATGATTGAAGTACAGGATAAATAAAATATATTATTTTGGACATTCTCCATAAACATTTCATAGCTAACAGTTTCTGCATTAAGTATTCAGAAAATCAATATTACATACTTAAACTGACTGCATCTTTAGAGGAATAAGTTGGCTGGAAAAAAAAAAAAGAGATTTCACTGAAGAACAAACCTATAGAAACTATGTTTCTTAATGTTTATGCATCCTTAATCCTCTCTTGAACTGAACCTACAGCAAATTGTTTTCATCTGAGTGGGACTGGAAGCTGTTGATGCCACTGCTTAGTTTAGCTGAGTTTAACTGAGGGACCAAGCAACAATGGAAAACATTAGGGATCATCCACAAAGCTAATGCTGAGTCTAAGCTCCTGAGAAACCATCCTCTGCAGAGTTGCTCTCTGCTCCTATAGAGGAATGTACCCATTCAGCTCAGAGATAGCCCAGCATTAGATTCAATCAGCTAAACCTAACACACACCCACTGCTTGCACAAGGACAGGCTTTTGCTGTACTGGAGATATTAGTCTATCTAGAGATAGAGCCCAGAGGCTGTGGTGCCAGTTGTGCACATTGCTTACCACACAATTCCTACAGGTCCTGTCTTAACCCAGTGGTTACTGCTCAGATTGACTCAGCACCTAAAGGAGCCCCTGTACAGCACTGCATGGACCAGAGGAGCAAAACTCACAGCCTAGGATAATATAACAAACAGTGCTCCTGCCCCCACAACAAAGAAAGGCTGCTACAGTTGGAGCTGTGTCCCTCTTCATGCCACACCCCAGCATAACCCCAGTGTCATAAAAGAATATAGCCGAAGCTCATAATATTTAACATTAACTAGATGGACAAAGAGCAAATCTTAGCTCATTGCATTAGACTTTAGCATTTTGTTTTTAAACACTGAGCTGAAGAACTAATTTCCTTTTGGTCTTTCTCATTAATATCACTTGTCTACTAATTTATTACAAAACACTGCAACAATCTAATGTCCATTTAAAACAACTGAGCAGCTTTGATGATGATCTCCATCCTAACCTGAACCTTAGTCCAGTCAATCTTCGTATTTTTTTCTCTATTTCACCTCACATCTTATTTAGTGTCTACCCTAAAACCTCAGTTCCTACAGGCAAGTAGTTAAAAGAAAATCTTGCTTCACTTTGCAGAGTTTCTAGGTCTCATAATTGCACCAAAAGGCTTGAAAACAGGAATCATGTCAGCTTAAAGAAAGCAAATAAAAAACACTCTAAGGCACTTTTTAAACAAAATTCTCATCACTTTTACAAGAAATTTATCATCTGAAGATAAGAGGTGGTTGCCTGAGTCACAGAAATTTCTAAGTCCTTGGGCTTCAAATGTGAGGATTCCTCTTCAGCTCCCTTTTCCTCTTGTACTTTTCTACTCTTGTATTTGGTATGAGGAACGAAGATGCCCAAATTTCTGGTAGAAATCATCTTCAGCACGATTCAGAGCTTCCTCATCTATGTAGACAGCTGGTCTCCGGGCAGCCAAGAAGTACTGCACTTTCCGCAGGCTCCATCCCGCCACGTACTTCAGCCAGCCACTGACAGCGGCTGTGGACCTGCCAACACCAGCATTGCAATGAACATAGACAGTGTGTCCGTTCTGCAGCAGCCCGTGCAGGAGGCAGACAGCTTGTGGCAACATCTGTATTCTTCCTAAGGTCAAAAACAAGGCACGTTCATTTGCACTGGACAGGCAGTTCATGGCTGAGTTTGCTTTCTTTTCTCAAATGACCTTCTAGGCTAACCTGTTTGGTTTTTTCCTTGCAATATAGAATCAGATCACACAAAACTGTAAAATGCTCCAAGCCTCTAAATATACATTCTGATAACATCAGATGTGTGTGGCATATTCATTTTCAAAGGAACTGAGACAAGGCAGCACATTACAGAGAACAGCATAACTTACATAGAGTTAGAGTTAGCAAGCCAAAAATTAAATTATAATTTAATTTAAATTTTAATTAAAAATTAATTTATTTTTTTTTAATGAGGTTTGTGAAGGTACCCACATACTGCTGTTTTCCAAAACATTGTAATGAAGGTCATCAATTCAATAAGTGAGCGGAGAGCAGATCATTTTATTGCACAACTTAAAATTTCGTTGTGTACTAAGCATACAGTTAAACAACACAGAATAGCCTTTCTCACTCCTAAAGGGATGAATATACCATATTTTCTGGTACTTTTCTTCTGGCTATCCTAGGAACCAGAGCTGCAAACAACAGAGCCCAGCTTTTCCTCATGACACATATGAGCACTGACATTAAGCCCTTTCAAATCCCTGTTTTAAGGTCTACTGTCCTCCCTCATGTCCTATTACTGATACAACAGTTACCTACTTGTGGTATTTCACTGTGCTGAAAGCACACTCTTCTGCTGGCAGGCTGCTCACTTCAAAACACACTCACTTTCTAACCTTCTGGTTGGAAACAAGTCTTTGAACTGAGCATTCCAACCAAGGACTTAAAAGTATGAGTAATCGATGTTATAGCTCAGGTGCTATGAGTATTTTCAATTAATTGCTAACTATTATATAAATGTCTCTATGGAGTTTCATCAGACTGAGATAGTACAGTTCAGAAAAAAATGTTTGTTGGGAAGGGAACAGCAGACACACAGCACTGTCTCTCCATTTTTAATCAGCAAAGGCGGTAAGCTACCCTACTCTGCAAACTTACAGTCTTCCACCTACACAGAATATTTTCATTATATAGGCTGAACTCGAGCTGAAAGCAAAAACAGTGAAGCAGTTATTGATGTCAGATGACTTTAAACTCAAATACACATAATATTGCCAGACACAAAGTACTTCAGATGGCCTCTCTGCCATCTGAAATGAATAATTTGTTAAAGACAGCACACAAAGAAACTATACTTTTTGTGACTGCTATATTTTCATGCAAAATGTACACAGAACTCCTGCCCTCCAACTGTCAAGAAAGTGGCAGATTAGTAACTCAGGGTGTTTGTTGCTGTTAATTTACTGCAAGAGTGACATGAGCATTACCTTCAGTGCTCATGTCTGCAGTTGGCAGCCAGACATAGGCAAGACCTTCTTCCTTATACAGTTTCATGAGGATTTCGGGGCTCATGGGTTCTGGGTAGCGGTTGCAGCCCCAGGAATTTTGAACAATGTCAGATTCAGTCTGGAAGTTCATCACAGCTGTAATACCCAGCTCATGTTTCAGCTTGATGGTCACGTGCTCCAGCTGCCGAGGGCAACTTCCCAGCCAGATGTTGGGCAGAATCCTAGCGTTGAGAAAACATTGCAGTGGCATTGATTACAGTATCTTAAGGAAACTGCCAAGTTCGGCAGTGTTCCAGTTCAAAACCTGCTTGACATCAACACACAAACGCTGTTAAGCACAGACTTTTCATGTCAGGCAGTAAGAAACTTCCTGTTTCATTACAACTGATTTTGTTATGGTTGAACTGGCAATGTCTGATGCTGGGAATCAAGCTCCTAGACTACCACAAAGAGCCAGATGAACTGGAAAAATTTCAGAGCATAATTATAGCACAGGTCTCCAAGGCATCATTCATCACTAAGCTTGCAGTAGAAGTTTACTAATATCAGGGATTAGAATAAGAAAACTCAGAAGATTCATGCAATTTATACACACACACACACAAACAAACAAAACCAAACCAAAACAAACCCCTAAAGAATTCACATAATCCAGATCTGCATTACTTTTGTAATAAGTCAAACATCAAGAAGTCTTCCAACTCTTCAGCTACCACTATAATGAGGGAAGTAGGGAAAAAAGCATTTTGAACTACCCTTCTGTAATGAAACTTAAAAATCAGTAATTTTCTTCTAATTTTTCTCTGATCTCTTGGAATCTAGTGGGAATCAAATACAGAATTACAATACATGTATAGTTTCCCTCAAGGCTTGAAGGACCAGAAATTTTTCAGGAAAACAAGAGGTTCATGTAGGATGGGAAAGTATCAGAAGCATGGTTGTATATCTCAATCAAACTTCAAGACTTCTACGGTTTTCCTATTGCTAATTATCATAAAACCATTGTATACTTCAACAGATGTTGACATTATAAACTGAATATTAAGAAACTTGTTTTCAAATGAGGGGTTTCAATGTGCACATGCAATTAAATTGATGGTATCTACAATGGATTATTCAGATGCTCAAATTATTAGTGATCTACTTTAATTTCTTTATGCTTCCATTAACTTCAATTTTGAATGTGCAATCCACAAACTAAACAAATTATATTAAGGTTTAAAAAAAACTTTGCTAACCTTATTAACTGCAACAAATCTGCAACACTATTAACTGCAAAAAGTTAGCAAACACTATTAAATGCAAATCTACAACAAAAGCAAGATCCTCAAAAATAAAACGTCTGCCATGCATATCTTATGATCTTTCCTAACTTTAACCTCAGCAACAAATAAGGAAAGTTTTATGCTTTTTCAGGAGCTTATAAACCAATCTTAAATCATCAGGAAGCTATTTCCATTTTACTATCACAGTAATAAGTACCAGCACTTAATTAAGTCCTGTAGTTGACTGTAATTATTAAATCCTGCTGTATTAGTACTGCAATATTATCAAGAAGAAAAATTCAGATCCAGGAAGCAGTTATTATTATTGTTTCCAGTTTGTAAGCTGCATCCAAGCTGAGTTGCATACTAGCCACGTAAACACAGCCTATGGCCTTAACAGCCCCAGTTTCAATGGGACAAAACACTTGATCTCAATATATGGTAACCGAGACCAATGTAAACAAATATACTGCATAGCAAATAAACCTTTCAATCATGTGCCAACAGTGAGAGCACTTGAAAAGATTTGACTTAGTTGTTGTTTCACATACATGTTCAAGAATTGCCCCAAATCCAACCTAACCAGCTCCAGCATTCTCACTGATCAGAGGGATGGGCACACAACTGCTTCACTGCCCCCCTTCCCATATGCCAGCCCCACAGCAACTCCCATCTCAACCTGAGCGAGTGACCGCTGCCAGGATTCTGCCACAGGAACCTGCCGAGATGATGAGAGCATCACCAGGTGGTGAATGTGATCTACAGTGCCCTAACAGATGCTGACAAATGGCTGGAGATGAGCAATGCCCAGGAAACTCTATTCCCGGGACAGAGAAATTACAGTATCACTAACACCTTGTGACAATATGAGGATATTATTTCAAGAACAAGAACAAGAACATTAGTACCCTTCCTTCAAAGGCTTTCCTAGAGACTCATACATATGTAATTCATGCTTTGTGAAACATCTAATGCACTAAATTACACCGATGGGAGAAAAAAACCCCTGTGTTTTCTAGGATTTGATTGAATAAAAAGTGACGAAAGCATTCCTGAGATAAATAAAATTCTCTTTATAAACTCTTGCTTACTGATAAACCAATGCTTTATTATTTTTTCCCCAATGATTTTTTAATGGGTGAACATCACAGCTCTGCTGTCTGCAAGACTCCTGGGATACAGACCATTTATTTTGTTCTTGCAGCCTAACAGGTCTTGTACATGATGAGACCTCCTGTATCAATACTAATTGAATTTACTGAACAATTGGAAGAGTTTACCAAATCTTTGTCACTGTCTTTCCCCAGAATTAACTGCCCTAATGGAGGCATTCAGAGAATGACCTAAAAGATGTATTTAGGACAGGCAATTCTTGTGAATTAATTTTATGATCAGGTCCTAAAGTTTAGCCTTTGAGAGGATCAAGATGTAGCCTTGACCTTGATCTACAAGCCCCTTATCTATCCAACTACAAATAATTGTAATTCTTGGTTTTGCTGGCCAGGGGTTAACCACCCTTTTACCCTGCAGAAAACAGTACTGCAGAGCTGTCCTATCAGCCAATTTATGTAAAAAGTTCTAGGATAATCCTACTGCATAGTACCTATATTTCTGTTTGGTTCTAGTTCAAACCTTACCTTTTTCTGACATCAGAAGGAAGGAATAAAAGGGGTATTTGTAGATGCAAGTACAGAGACTAATAGAGAGTTTAGCAGCTAGATTTTAAATATTGATATTTTTGATAACCCTACTGAGGGCTTCATTTTGCTGAGGATCAGGAAACATATCTATTGGACCAATTTAATTTTTACATCTCTTTCCTTAATGATATAAGTTTGAGTTTTCCTTTCAATGTGGCCCTTCTTTAAGTTGCCAAGGAACTCCAGTAGGTAGCTAGATTTTAGCCACAAGACTATTTAGGATCAGAAAGAGAGCTCTTTTATGTTCTCCTCTAAACTGTCAAGTTATAATGCTCTGAGCTCTCTGACAGCCACTGCTTTCCAGCTCACATGTGGGTGTATTCCAGCAGCAGATTATGTGATCCCTAAGCACATCAAAAAATATTAGGAAATTAATAGTGATCAATAGATCTTCAATCCTTTCAGCTGAACCCTTTTGACATGCCAAAAATACCAAAACAAGATGGTGTTTTATCAAAATTCTACTTGAAATTTTATTTTAATATAAAAATGGTACTTTGTCATTGTACATCTTTACTCTCTGCATCAAGGAAAATAAACCATGTTTGGCTCCAGAAAACAATTTAGTCAGACAGTTTATCAATGAAGAAATCACCTAGAGTGATTTAAACATCAACTATATTTAGCAATCTTCTGAGATTAAGACTTGTGAGTTGTCTAGAAGCCCTTTCTTTATAGGTACTTTCTGTCAGCTACTTTCAACCTGCCCTACACTTCAGTACTCCACCAGTAGTATAGATAAAATATTTACCTGCTTTAAGAGGACTTTTAGGGGTCAAACAGATGAATTCATGTGAGAAACTTGAGGTTGTGGTAACAAGGACTAAATGGTAAGCAAATGTTATTTGTTTTATTTTTACAGAACCCACACTGAGGACTGATGTATTCAAAATATGCTTTTTGACTTTATAAACTGAGAAAGCCAACGATTATTTATCATTACCACAGAGTAAATATGGAATACCCTGCAAACACTTGTACACTTCTTTTCCAGCACACTTAGATTATTTCTAATGATCTAGACATATATTGTGTTGGTTGGCTTCCCCCCAGGACCCTGCACAGTCTAGATTAAAATATAACAATTCAGAGTGAACGCATCTAAAATAGCAAATGCATTCCATTTAATCAATGTGTATGCAAATGGTCTTCCCATCCCTAAGGAGAAAATGTGTCTGAGGCAATGAAAAATTAGCATTGTGAAACTTTTTTTTGATGGTGTGGACTAATTTTCAGGCACAAAGCATGACACACCATACCTCTCAATCTCAGTACAGTACAAAACCAGCCCAGCAACTGTAACTGTAGGGATTTGATTCCCAGAGAAGGTGACCTGACATAGGGGAAGACACCACATTACTGCATCAGGCAGTCAGCTCCTCCTCCTTGACACCAGTGTCTACTCTGCCTCTTCAGCAGCTCCTGTTTTACTTTTGCTAATAATCCTTCAGGACAAACAGACCCTAAATTGAAATTTCCTTAAAATGCTGAGTTGCAAGCTAGGATGACTCAGGTACTGCTTCCAGATCTGAGCAATCATCAGTGTCATAGGAGGAGGCATCTTAGAATCTACCCTAAAATTAATCAACCTTCTAAGAGTCACAGTTCTTATAGAAAAAGATTGGATTTGACACTTTAGAAACACATTTCCTCAGAGTATCTATCAGGTAGTGACAGATGTCCATTTATACTGATAGTTGCCAGCTTTAATCAAAAGAGAGGACTTTGCCAAACTAAGGAAAAATAGCAAGGTATTTGTCATTGGTTATTGGCAACAGTGATCCATCAATGATGCCATTTGTTTATACCAGTGATATTTTTGACCAAGGTCCAGTCTATTATTTTAAATGAAAAGTGATGGATTGAATCATCCCTCAGTGTTATGTCAAGGTGTAGCCTGGGTTAAAGCTTACACTCCACTAGACTTGTCTACACCAGGCTTCCTTTGATCCTGTTAAGCATATGATGATATAATACATATACTAATATATACATATAACAAAACAGAGCAATTTAGCTTCAACAACAATCAAAATAATGATTACATTGATTGTCCTCCCTCAAGACTCTTATTTCCTAAAGGTATAGCATGCAACCACAGCTACATGGAACTTGAATCAAAACTTACTCTGCATTCTCAGAAGAGCAACATATATAATTCAGTCAATTTACCCCCAGAATTTTGTGTTGCTTCTAGGCATGCAGAGTGGTTTTTTTGCACTAATGTAGTGCTATTACCCTGGTACCACTACAAGT